AAAAAAAAAAGAATACTGTTCTTTTTTCAAAGATCCATTACCTTAGTGTCAGGGATTCTGTCTCTCTGGGAAATGGCTAGAAGCTAACAGTGTAGATTCGCCATCTCGAGCTATGTCTTTCTGTGTAGTACTGAAAAAGAAATAGGTAGAAGCCTCCTAGAGGAGATAAATTTCTAACTCCTAGGTAGTGCAGTAACTCAGCCAAAAGTATCCCTGAAGAGCTGAGTGGAATGGGGAAGTCTAGAGAGTAGAACAAAGTCCCAATCTTCCCTTGTCCCCATTTCCTGCTATTAGAGAAGCAAGCAGTGAATCTGGTTCCAAGATGCTGTCTTTGGAGAAAAACAATCATTGCTATCATCTTATAGTCAGTGACTGGGCAGTGGAACTGCAGTAAGAGTTTCAAAAAAAGGGTCAGAGATGGAGTTCATATGGGCCAAGACAGCGTAGTGGATTACCTGTCAGACTGCTAACTGCAACGTCAGCAGTTAGAATCTACCAGCTGCTCCATGGAAGAAAGATGAGGCTTTCTGCTCTGGTAAAGATTTACAGTCTTGGAAACCCTATTCATGGTTCTATGAGTCAGAACTGACTTGGTGGCTCACCACCATCACCACTACCACCAAGGAAACATAAGATCCGCTGACTTGGCCCTCCCCGGTCCCTGAGGTGCCCTAACGAGATTGTTTTTATGATTTGGTTATTGCTTTTCACTTAAAGAAGTCCCCTCAAATTGCACAAACGTCATATTCCACAAACCTATATTTATATGTAAAAATGGGATGGGCTAAATGAAGTCTTGCCAACTCTATCTAGAGATATCTCTAAAGTGAGAGTGACCTGCTTTCTTAGTTATTAAAAGTTCAAATAACCATTTTGGTTCTCCTTTCTCAATACATCAATAGGTTATTAGAAATGGGAGGGATAATATCAAAGCCTTGATAATGTAAGTAAAAGACATTCCTTTCGTGTCAATATAGAGAATTTCTTCCCTGTTACTGAATTTAGTTAAAATTTCTACTGAAAATATATTTGCGATGAATAACAAGTATAACTTAAACAGTTACAAATAAGATTTTAAAATAGAACTATTACGTATATTATTGCATGTTCGTGCCCAGAAACTATGTATCAATATTGATAATTTTTCTCTCTTGGTCTGTTACTGGATTTAGTTAAAATTTCTACTCAAAATATATTTGTGATGAATAACAAGTATAACTTAAACAGTTACAAATAAGATTCTGAAATAGAACTATTATGTATATTATTGTATGCTCGTGCCCAGAAACAATATATACTAGAAGTCAAAATCATGAAAATCTTGCTTTCTATTTAGATGAAGATTTATCATTATCTGTGAGATATGTCCACTATGGTTTCACTTTAAAACCACAAATAAAGTTTTAACAATGGGCATTTTTCTTGTTGAGAGGTCTGTGGTCAGACAAAACATCTCTCTGAACCTGATTAGATTCTGAGGTTTTTAAATTCAATATTCAGCAAATATAGAACATTTCTTTGGCCATAAGGAATAATTAAGAACTTCAGAGCTTATACCACTCTCCTGAGCCTGCTCCTTTATTTCTCATGACATGATAATAAGACATAACCTCTTCTTGTCTTGGGTCTCACCACATATGAGATTGAGACAGAGTAACTCATACACAATTAATCTTTTGAGAATCTAGCTGACATTGCTTTAGGTTTTTACCACAGCAAGTCCTTCACTTGTTAGTACTCAAATTGTAGAAATTGGATATGTTCTTAAATGCTTTATTTCTTCATCCTCACTCCCAACTCTCCTGTATCCAGAAAAGTAGACACATGGTCATTATGTGAAGACAAAGGAATATTGAAGAGTTAATTATACAACAGTCCGAATTGTCCACTGTGTATTCATTCTTGTAATGGATTGCCAGAGGGTAAATTAGCATATTTCATTTGAAATCTTGTAAAATAGAAATGGGATTGTTTGGGCAGTTTCAGTTTGCATAATAATCATTAGACTTCATGGGAAATCTGGCTTGGAATAACACAAAAGTTCTGAATAAAGGAGAGGTGGGCAGTCTGTAAAGGATTCATATGAGCTAGTTAACAACACTGACAATATGTATTGGATAATGTCTAAAATCTACTTTTCATGTATAAACACAATCTCTCTGTGTTTCTAGAGACTTCATTAGCTTTCTTAGAATCCAACTCCTTCTCTTCCAAAGGTGATAGTGGTGGTTATGTGCTGTGGAGTGGGTTCTGACTCATAGTGACCCTGTTTAGGGTTTCCAAGGAGTGTTATCTTTACAGGAGCAGTAAGCCTCATATTTCTTCTGCAGAACAGCTGGTAGTTTTGAACTGAGGACCTTGAGGTTAGGAGCACTATCAGAGCTTCCAAAGATAGGCCTAAAATAAAAGATGCAGAAGTCATTGAATTGTTTCCGTAGCATTTGCTCTGCTGGATGGGACCTTCAGAGGTCACCTATTTGTCCCGATTGCCGGCCAGGACTCTCCCTAATACTGAATATAGCTATATAGCTATCTGCATTAAGAAAGCTTTTAAAGATCCCTAGGGCTGGTCAAAAAATAGCTAATATTGGCCTGATTCATAGAACAGCATTATATGTATGTCAAAATAGCCACCTTCATCAAGGAAAACATCCATCAGGGCTGTTAAGTGCTGGTGCTAGCTTCAAAAAGACAAGATTTATTTTCTCAGAGAAAAGGGTGATAGATTAAGGAAATGACCAAGTGTGTTGGTATTTTTTGTTGTTGTTTAGGTGTGCATTTGAATGTTTATCAAAAAGGAAACATTGTCATGTCAAAGATCACTGCAGGGGAAGCCTGGAGGTGGCTGTAAAGAAGATCACAAGTCCTTTCAAATACAGAGCTCAGAAGGGGGCTGTTGTTTGAAACATGAGCAGATTAACATCAAGTTATTAAAGGGCAGATGGTGAAACATAAGAATAATATTGACAGACCTGCTTTTTAAGTGATATATTTCTCCCCTAATCAGCTTGAGTTTGTTATAGCAGATAATTTTATTTCCTTAATTCTATTAAACGTTAGATGCAAAGGACGGGAATTTGAGTGTAATTTAAATTTTCTAAGACAACTAATCACATTGTTGTTTTATAGGAAAAGAATTGTTGAGATTTGTGAATTACTGGGTTGGAAACCTTATCCTAGAATCTGAATATCTAGCTAAAAGGAGAGCTGAGGCTCTTACCTGGGTTATTTGGGCCTATAAGCCTATCAGCTGAAATATACAGAATTTAAAGATGTGCCTAAATATTTAGGGTGGAAGGAGAGATGGGATGCAGCTAAAAGGAGATTAAATGATCTGCTCAATTGTTTCAAATATCCATTTGGTTGTGTAATTAATAGTATTACAGTTTTTTCAAATAACATTCTGGAAGGTTTCATAAAAACCTGATCAACTATGATGTTTCTAAAGAGAGGAAGTAGATAGGGGATAGGAGGGCTAACAGAGACAAGGTTAGAGAAAAGGTTACAACATTCTCTTTGGCCAGTTTTCAAGATTTGGGCTTGTACCTTTTCCAAAAGAATTCACTTGAAAATATTTTCTTTTTTAAAGCAGAAAGACATCCTCAATGCTTTCTCTCTCATCCAGGAGCTCAGTCTGGGTTACAGGAAGTGCAAGGCTCTGATTGCTGGCCTCTCCCAGTCTCCTTTGTAATTCTTGACTTTGAGAATGAGAATTCAATGACTGAGAACTTTTTGATGTGCAGCTGCCTTTCTCAGAGAACTGTAACCATGTAACAAAGTCTTCAGGTTGTCTTTCCTTTTCCTTTTGTCAAGATGAGAGGGAAAAGAACAAGGAGATCTCCCTTCAGTGCCTCCGAGGTTTTACAACATTCCCACAGTGGGCACCTAACCCTTGAGTGGATGCATGGTCTACAAACCCACCATAAAACTAGGCTATTTAAGGTACGGAAAGTACTTCCTTAGTTACTTGGATATTCGGCAGTGCATTTTGTTTCTCCGTAAAGTGCTCCGTAAAGTGCTAACTTGTTTGTATAGTTTGCCTATAAGAAGTATCATTTAAAGAAATTATCAACATAGACAAATCCCAGAGCAGAATCAAGACATTTCAGTTAGGGAAAAGTGAATCAGCTTTAAGGAAGAGAAATAAGTTAAAAGGAGTGTAAGGAAAAGAAGAGAGTAGCAGGTTCTATCATTTTTATTACAAAAACAAACAAACAAAAACAGACACTTCAAATCCTTTACATGCCATGACATTAAATGTCACATATTACATTTGTTGCAAGCAAATCTTTCTTTAAAAATATACATACTGTTTATATTTACATTCAAGTTTGGGTAACTGAGGTCAAGGTGTGGTTCAGGTTCTAATCTTTACCTACCCTGTGAATTTGTTCTGCTACTAACTAAACAGCGATTGTATCTTCACTCAGGCACATGGAGAGGTAGAAACTGCTTTTTAAAGGGAAGAAAAAAAGAAGTACAAATGTGAAGATCATCATTGAAGCATCAAGGAGTTCTTAACTAGCTTTGGTCACCTCAAGAAGCTGAATACATGTTGTTTTATCCTTTAAATGAAAAACAGAAGAACTTTGGGTAGGCGCTCTTCTGAGCATATAAGGAGGTTGACAGAGTTCAGCAACAAAATCTGTGCCACTCTTCCCCCACAGAATTGCATATGACGAAATTAGGCAAATTAGCAGCGCAAGGCTGGGCTGGCAGCTGAGTACCTTTTCCCTGATAAGACACAGACAATGCACAAACAAGTGGCTTAGGAGGCATCAACGTCATGTCTGTACACACACACAGGCTAGAACTAAGAAGCCAACGTAAAGTATTTCTTTTCCCATGTGAAAGCCCTGTTCACTTCTGCCCAGCTCAAACCCCCAAATCAAACTGCGCCCGCCGTAAATTTAGAGATCGGTGGGGATCTTGACTTCCGCAGATGCAGACTGAGGTAAGTCAGCTTCAAGACAGGACCTCATAAAGGCTCTTGGGTCTGAGAAGGGCTCTCGGGGTTCTTGCGGGACTTGGTGGGGCTCGTTCCTGAGTGGGGAAGTTGGAAAGAGGTCACAGGAGAGGCTGTGGCCAGAAGGCCTTCTCGTTCTCTTTTCTTCTGTTTCATTCTGCGGTTCTGAAACCAGATTTTGACTTGGGTATCATTCAGCTGCAAGGAATTGGCTATCTCTATGCGTCGGGCTCGAGTTAAGTACTTATTAAAATGAAACTCTTTCTCCAGTTCTGTCAGTTGCTTGGTACTGAAATTAGTACGGATTGCGCTGGAGGGGCTGGTGGCCCCATACTCCGTGAGTTTGCCTGCAACGTAAAGAAAGGGCGTCAGCAGGGCGAGAGGGCGTGGAGACCGAACAAACGAGGGCTGCCAAGGGCACTAGAATAAAACCCAAAGTCCCAGTAAAGGCCTCCTGGGTCCCTAGGAACTTTTACCATTATGTTAGGAGAAACTCCACGGAGAGATTCTCCATGCAATGTTCTCAATGCCTGGCTCGCTCATGGGAATTCGCCTGCTTTACAAAAGCCTTGGAACTCGTTTCCTTCATTAAACCCAACCCGAATTTCAAGAGGGACACTTGCAACACATTCCACGTGTAATTCCGAGGGGGAAACTCCGTCCCCAATCTCAGACGCCTGCGTCCAAGTCCCAAGTACTTACTTTTCTTTGGGGTGTTCCTCTTCACTTTCATCCACTCAAACGTGCTGAAGGCGGCAGGGAGGCCGGACGCTGGAGAGACGGATTTGGGGTAGGCGCCAGGAGCCGGGGATGCGGTGTGGAAGGGACCGGGGTGGCTGTCCACTGGCTCTTTGGTACACGCTGGAAAGGGGCCCGGTTCGCCGAAGGTCGCGTAATCCACCTGGCCGCTGAGGAGGAAGGAGCCACCACTGGAGAAGACGGCCGAGGTGGCGTAGTGGACGTGCGGCCCTCCATCGTCAGCCGGCCGCCCCAGAGCGCACGGGAAGTCGTACGCGGGCCCCAGAAAGCCGTAGTCCGTGCCTGCCGCAGCAGGTGCGGCGCCGGGCTCGTAGGCACCCTCCAGGGTGCACTGCGCGTAAGGAGGCGCGGGCAGGGGTGGCGCGGGCGGATGCCCGGGTGTGGCCGGGGGCGAGGGCGCAGGTCGAGCCCCGGCGGCGGGCAGGGGCAGGCAGCTAACGAAGGCGCCCTCGCCGCCGCTCAGGGGGAAGGCGGGCTGCAGGGCCACCGGCCGGGCGTCGGCGCGACAGAGCTTGGGCGCGAAGCTGAGCACGTCGCCGCCGCCACCTCCGCCGCCGCACGAGACGTACTCCAGGTAGGAGCTCATGGTTCCGGCCCACCTTCCCGAGTGCGCAGGTCAAGGCCGGGGTGCTCACCGCCTCTCGCCCCTACTGGTGCTGCCCTAGCCGAGCCATAGCTAGCCAGCCAGAGGTAAATAGTGGCTTAATATAGCGGCGAGGGCGACCACGTGTCGCTGGCCAGCCAATGGACGCCTTCCCCGCACGGCCGCGGCCCCGACTGGCGCGCGACTGCACGCGCCTGCCCCACCGCTAACTTTGCCAAACCTGCCGGTATCGCTGCCCAGTGCCTACCACTCCCTGGTAGAGCTGGTGAGACCCAGGAAATGGCCGGGCCAAGAGCGCAGGACGCCTGTCCTTTAGACAAGTATCGGGCGAGGTGAGGGGAAGAGGCTAGCCACTGGCTTCTGGGTGAGGGCATAGAGATGGAGGGAGCAAAAGCTTCTTCTCCTCGATCCTGGGTGGCTAATCCTTAGACTTCAGGTTGTGTGTGCCACGGTGTGGGAGGGGTTACAAGGGACATGAAGTTTGTCCTGTGAGGATTTGCTCCTAGACCATCATCCCCAGGGAAGGCAACAAACATGCCTCTCCACTTTTTTTTCCTCTGAATCCTATGCACTTTGGATTTTCTTGGTACTGGTGTCATCGCCCGCCTAAACCTGGAGCTGACATTTAACTTTCCGTCATTTTTCTCCTCCCCTTGATTCTTGGGACTAAATTTTATTCTGTAGGTGCTGTGTATCCCGGGTGGGAGTGAGGGCGGCACAATTTTTAACTAGGTTTTCACGTTGCCTCGCAGCATTCCTCTCTGCTTCTATCCCTTCCAGTTGTGGCTGTTATGGTGAGCGCGAGTGTCGGAATGCCACGGTTTTATTTGGATAGAAGATAAAGTTTCTGCTTTGTGAGGAAGTTTAGCAGATTCCCCTCCCTCCTTTGGCTATGTTGTCAAAATAAAGACTCAGCCCTTATGGTCAAACGGTTGTAGTGTTCCCATGTCCTCCGATCTTGGAGGTTGGCACACCGGTGCTGCGCATGCTTTCTCCGAGGGGTTTGGCTCGAGGTCGCACCGGCTTCCCGAAGATGGGTTAGATCTCAGAGGTTTGAACGGGTTTGTATCTCCAAGCAATTAAAGCTTCTGTTTCATCAGATAAGTGAAATCTGAGGACTCACAAAGTTAATGGGCTCATGTCTTTCCCTTGATAATATGGTGGGCTTTTTTTTTTTTTTAACTGAATGTAGAGGGATATAAAAGTGTAATTGGCATAGGAAATGAAGAGAAGGGTTTCAAAGATAAGCTTTACAGTGACAAAGTTTTCAATCTTTGAACAGTTTTCTTTAATGTTTCCTCTCTTTGGGGCATAGGAAAATAACAATAAATAAATGTTATGTATGCAAAGCAGTAATGGAACAGGTTGTTTTCTCAAAACCCTGTGACTAGAAGAGTTTAAAAGAGTCAGCGTTTGGCTTACTCAGATGCCCTTGAAAACTTGATCTATTACACACAGTTATGTTGACCCGTGGTTTTGTTGTTGTTTTACTGATCCACTTGTTATGAAAGAGCAGTTGTGCCTTTGTTTACAATTCCATATCCAGGAAATTCAGAAAACACTAGCCATCACAGTCCAGGGAACCAATTCCTTGCAGGGATTTGGGTTTGTGAATAAACAAAACCAGATCAAAATTGTAGACTGCTAGTGAGGCCAAAGTTGAACCAAGATGAGGGAAAGGGAGAACATAGTTGGAGTTGGAACACCCAAGTAAACTTCAGTTTAGCACAAAGCAAAGGAAACCTGGTGTAGTGCTATAAGATAAACATTGGAGTCCTAACCTTAAGGTTGGTGGTTCAAACTCCTTAGACATCCTATACAGGGCCACTGTGTCTTGGAACCAACCTGATGGCACTTAACAACAACAACAGAGTCTAAAGATTCCTGGGCTGATGAATTTCTTGGATTTGATTGGGAGATGAAGTGCTATGCTAAAAGTAGTCTTTCAACCTTGACTTTACTACTTCTGTTTTGTTCTATAGCCAATCAGATGACAGAAGTCCGAAACAGTTTTTATAAGGAGAAAAACAAATGCTCTTCTTTAGTACCATGGTAAGGAAAGGTCCCTACAGAGTGAGAGCAGACTTAAAATGCAGATGAATTTTTCACCACCCACCTGTGTTGTTAATGCAGAAGTATCAACAAATAAGATTCATCTGGATTCACAATGCTCTCTTCTCCGTCCTCCCTCCACTAGACTTTGTTGCTGTTGTTAAAGTGCGCGTTGGAGTGGTTTCCAATTCATAGCAACGCTGTACAGGGTTTCCAAGGAGCAGCTGGTGAGTTTAATAGCCAGTTTTTACAGGATGGGTGTCCCAGCTCTCACAGTTCTTTAGCCTAGAGGCTCCCGGAGGTCAAAAAGTGAGGTCCCCAATGTAAACCTCTTTTGGGGAACTGAGAGCCAAGATTTCAAACACAAAAACCCAGGCTGATTGTCTGTTGAATCTGATCAAAACCCATCAAATTAAGGGTCTTTCTCTAAGATTTTGAGGGAAATCTTGGCAGCTTAAATGGCAACAGTGACCAAATTTTTGCTGGTAAATACTTGGACCAAAAGGTTGCATCCCTCTTGACACAATTAAGCCTTGACTTTGTACCCACACCATTTCCCTTTTGAAGTTTTAGCCATTGTTGAGAAAAGAAAGTGTCCAAAGAAACAATTTGATTGTTTTTAAGTTTGTTTTCACAATTGTAGGTGAGAGTGGGTGGAAGGTTCAATTGTTGTTCAGTCTTTGTTAGCAGTTGCCTTAATAGTTGTATCAGACTACATTTCCTGTTATCCTTCTCTCCCCTCCCTTAATCTCCACATCCTTGGTTTAACCCATACTTTGGGCCACAGAATTGCCATCATTTATAAGGTGATTCTTGATTTGCTCCTGCTAGAAGTCTGTACTCTGGTGATCTCCGATTCAGGTTCAAGGAACATTTGGCAAGGAACTTCTATGGGAGGACACTTTCCTAGGGAAAGGTTAGGCTGGAAATCAAGGAAGTCCCCAACCAAAGGAAGAGGGACTCAGTTCTGGCCCAGGTCTTACCTGTATCATAAAGTCTACTCTAGAAAGATCTGAATCCATAATTTTCTAAGGAGAGACTGGAAGATATCACTGGGCAAAGTGTTGTAGAAGTATGTGACTATAAGATGTTTCAAGTAACTGTATAGTTTGCCTTTTAGATTTTCACAAGCTTTGGGAATTTTTTCTTATTAATTGTATTACTTGTTCACACCAGAGTTCCCGAGGGTCACTTGCTGTGCTTGGTCCTGATGCTGTGAGCTCTCTCTCCACAGGAGGTGACAGTAGAGAGGCCTGATTGCCAGGTTGTGTTTGATGTAGGAATGCTTTGATATTTCTCCCATCCTGCTTACCACAGCAGCTACACACTCTCCACTCTCTCACCTCCCAGGATTATCTTTCGCTCCTATTCTAATGACAGAGAGTAGCAGTCTGGTCTCCTATATGTTCTGAACATGCTCTTTTGACCATCTCCACAAACCCATCCTGTTCCCCTTTGGAGGTACTTGAACACATGCAAACACTTGGTTCTCAGTCTCAAGCATAGAACGTCTCTTGCTTGTTGAGAAAAAGGGGGAATCTGTTCTCTTAAAATAGATTTGCAGTTTTCTGTAACATCTTCAGACACCCCAAAAGGAGGGTGGGAATGAAAAATGTCTTAATGACTGGGATTCTAAATTTGTTAGAAGTCTGATTTCCTTGAGGAAATATCGCAGTGCTGTGTCTTTCCCTGAAAGCATTGTGAATGAAAGTTTTATGTGCCAAGTTCAGTGCCTGGTACATAGCTGGTAATACTGATTTTTCCCTTTTAGTCAAAAAACAAGTATTTGTTGGATGGAAGTAAAGAATGGACATAGTGGAGTATCTTCACCATGACTAATATTGATTAATGAATATTCTTAGCTTATTGGCTCCCCAACCAAACTACTTAGTGTATATAGGAATCATCATGTGAGCTGGATTTTTAAATGCAAGTGGTTTTTGGCCCACCCTTGGAGATTTTAATCCAGTAGGTGTGATTCAGGAGTCTTTATTCTTAACAAACATCATTGGATGATTCTAAAGCAAAGCTCTTCACAACTGTACTTTGAGAGTTTCTGCTTCAGGAGTTCTGGAGGGGGGTGGCTGTGATATGGTAGGAGGGGCCCTTGAAATAGCAAAATGAGAAGTCATGGCTAGCTGGAGCATGAGTGTACCTAAAAATTGCTCATAAACCTCTTGGGTGGTAGAGTAGGGACAGACAGGTCAATGTCAAGAACAAGCTTAAGTATAATGGGGCTGAAGATCCAGAAAGTATACTTAAGAAGTTGTCTGTAGGATTCCCTCATGTTTTGCTGACAAAACACGCTTTGCAGAGCATGTTCTCTTCAGGTCTTTGCTCCTTCCCTAACGGGTTTGATGATGCCAGTTGAGTAGGAAGTGAAAAGGACTTGCTTCTTCAAGTCTCTTCAAAGCAAATTGAAAGTGGTTCTGACTCCGTGGAATAAAAGAAGCCATGGGAATGAGGGTGGTCTCTTTTCCTTTCATCTCTCCCAAGTTGTCTGGAATGAACATTTGAGCCACAGGGCTCCATAAGGAAGGATATGTCCCTTAGCTAAAGCTGTAAGTCTTCTGCTGGTTTAAGGCTGACCTTTCACAGCAGAAGATGTCAGAACTAGAAAGCACCTTAGAGATAAGCCACATCAGATCCCTCCTTTTAGAGAGGGAGCCACTTTACACCGAGGATAAAAGGCCCACGTCCAGAATTACAGCTCTGGTCTCCTGACTCACCCAGTCTGTAAAGAGGGAGCCACAAGAAGTCATTCCTCACACTGTGGTGGGCCTTGATTTCAGGAGGCACCCTCATTTTTTGGAGACTCACTCAGTGGGGCCCCTTTAAAGGAGGCTGCCTGGAAGGCCTGCTGCCTTCTCTTTGGGATTTGTTTGCTAAACCCATCCCAGACTTCTGTAGCCCTGCATTGCAACAAAGGA